TTCCTTTTTCTCCACATCCTCTCCAGCACTTGTCGTTTGTTGATTTGTTGATGATAGCCAGCCAAGCAGGCTAATTTTTAAGCTGATAATTTTTTTTAGCATATTAGGCTTTTATTATATAGGATAAAGACAACAGGAAATTTCTAGTTCTGAAGTTTGGTCCTGAGGTAATATAAATGTCCCCAAAATGACAATTATAAAACATAATCCAAAAGAGAATATAATGCAGGACTTGTAGACACTGGTGAATATTGAGTGGTGAGAGAAGGGAAGGTGAGGTGGATGTAGGATAACCTTTCACAATCACCTTAGAATCACTGTTCATTTTTCTTCCAGCTCCCACAACAGAAAGAATGAGTAAAATATTTTTCATTCAGTAGTTTTTGGCATAAATAAAGCACATTCTTATGGAAATATCACCTGTGTTCTGAATAGTCATATCAATTATCAGAAAGCCTGCTTCCAGCATAAGGACATTTGTGCTTAATTTTCTGCATTGAGAATTTGACATTTTTCTAACTAAAGTTTTATATAGACTAAGTTCCTGTTAACTTTGTTTTCCATGAATCATCACATATAAGTTGTTTGCAAATAATAATTATGGATTCATAGTGCCCCCATTTTCTTCTTTTTTAAATTTAATTTTATTGTTTAAAGTATTACAAATAGTAGTACATATGTCTCCTTTTTTCCCCCATTAACCTCCCCCTGGCCTCCCAGACCCCCCAGCATATGCCCTCACCCTTCCCCAGTGTCTTGCACACATTGGTTATGCTTATATGCATGCATACAAGTCCTTCTGTTGATCTTTTACACCCCCAACCCTCCCCTTCCTTCCCGCTGTAGTTTGACAGTCTGTTCAATGCTTCATTGCCTCTGTGTCTATTTTTGTTCATCAGTTTATAATGTCTAACTAAAGTTTTATATAGACTAAGTTCCTGTTAACTTTGTTTTCCATGAATCATCACATATAAGTTGTTTGCAAATAATAATTATGGATTCATAGTGCCCCCATTTTCTTCTTTTTTAAATTTAATTTTATTGTTTAAAGTATTACAAATAGTAGTACATATGTCTCCTTTTTTCCCCCATTAACCTCCCCCTGGCCTCCCAGACCCCCCAGCATATGCCCTCACCCTTCCCCAGTGTCTTGCACACATTGGTTATGCTTATATGCATGCATACAAGTCCTTCTGTTGATCTTTTACACCCCCAACCCTCCCCTTCCTTCCCGCTGTAGTTTGACAGTCTGTTCAATGCTTCATTGCCTCTGTGTCTATTTTTGTTCATCAGTTTATAATGTTCTTTATATTCCACAAATGAGTGAGATCATGTGGTATTTATCTTACACTGACTGGCTTATTTCACTTAGTATAATGTTCTCCAGTTCTATCCATGCTGTTGCAAATGGTAAGAATTCCTTTTTTTTTACAGCAGTGTAGTATTCCATTGTGCAGATGTACCACAGTTTTATAATCCACTCATCTGCTGATGGGCATTTAGGCTATTTCCAAATCTTAGCTATTGTAAATTGTGCTGCTATGAACATAGGGCT